TTAAAAAGCAGAGACATTACTTTGCCAACAAAGGTCCATCTGGTCAAGGCTATGGTTTTTCCAGTAGTCATGTATGGATATGAGAGTTGGACCATAAAGAAAGCTGAGCGCCAAAGAATTGATGCTTTTGAACTGTGGTGTTGGAGAAGACTCCTGAGAGTCCCTTGGACTGCCAGGAGACCCAACCAGTCCATCCTAAAGGAAATCAGTCCTGAATATCCTTTGGAAGGACTGATACTGAAGCTGAAACACCAATACTTTGGCCACCTGATTCGAAGAACTGACTCATTTGAAAAGACCCTGATGCTGGGAAAGATTGAAGGCAGGAGAAGGGGATGACAGAGGATGAGATGGTGCGATGGCATCACCGACTCCACGGACATGAGTTTGAGTACGCTTCAGGAGTTGGTGATGGACGGGGAGGCCTGGCGGGTTGCAGTCCATGGGGTCACAGAGTCGGACCTGACTGAGCGACTGAACTGAACTGAACTGAAGCAGAATTCAGCTCTGACACTGTTTCTGAGATTACCTCTTTGGTAGTGTATCTCAACAGACTCTTCTGGAGTCAAAAGCTCAACTCAAAACCAGAAAAATGGTGACTTCCCTGGTGGTCCAGTGGCTAAGACTCTGTGCTCCCAATGCATTCAATCCCTGGTCAGGTAACTAGATCCCACATACCTCAGCTAAGAGATGAAGTGCTGCAACTGAGACCACCGTGCAGCCAAATTAAAAAAAAAAAAACTGGAGCTCCAGGATTAGTCAGTCACAGATGTTTGGTTGATTGGAGTAATATTTTTTAAACTATTTATTTTTGAATTTCTGTAATTACAGAAACAGGAGAGTTTAAAATAATGAAAGAGACCATTAAATGCCACTCTATGATAGTCAATTTGAAAACCTAGAAAAAAGACTCCTCACAAAATGTTAAATACCAAAATTGATGTAGGAAAAAATTTTAAATAAAGCATTTATAGAATGGAAAAGTAACAACATTTGATGTGGAAAAGGCATCAGAATGAAATGGCTGTGTAACTGAATTTCATTTAATCTTTAAAATACAGAGGGGCTTCCCTGATGGCTCAGATGGTAAAGAATCTGCCTGCAATACAGGAAACCCAGGTTCCATCCCTGGGTCGGGAAGATCCCCTGGAGAAAGAAATGGCAACTACCCCAGTATTCATGCCTGAAAAATCCCACGGACAGAGGAGACTGGTGGGCTACTGTCCAATGAATCACAAAGTCGGACACGACTGAGTTTCCCTAGTGGTCCAGTGCTTAAGAATCTACCTGCCTATGCAGGGGACATGGGTTCAATCCGTGGTCTGGAAAGACTGCACATGCTACAGGGCAACTAAGCCTGTATGCTGCAATTACTGAACCCACTCTCTAGAGCCTGTGAGCCCTAGAGCCCATGCTCCACAAGAGAAGCCACTGCAATGAGAAGCCCACGAAGCAAAGAGTAGCCCCTCTCGCCACCACTAAAGAAAGCTCACAGGCAGCAGTGAAGTCCAGTCCAGTTCAGCTGCTCAGTCATGTCTGACTCTTTGCGACCCCATGGACTGCAGCACACCAGGCCTCCCTGTCCTTCACCAAATCCCAGAGCCTACCCAAACTCATGTTCATTGAGTCAGGGATGCCATCCAACCATCTCAACCTCTGTCGTCCCCTTCTCCTCCTGCCCTCAATCTTTCCCAGAATCAGATTCTTTTCCAATGAGTCAGTTCTTCAAGTCAGGTGGCCAAAGGATTGGAGTCTCAGCTTCAGCATCAGTCCTTCCAAAGAATATTCAGAATTGATTTCCTTTAGGATTGACTGGTTGGATCTTCCCCAACACTGTAATACAATTCAAAAGCATCAATTTTTCACCACTCAGCTTTCTTTATGTCCAGCTCTCACATCCATACATGACTACTGAAAAAAAAACATAGCTTTGACTAGATAGACTTTTGTCAGACAAGTAATGTCTCTGCTTTTTAATATGCTGTCTAGGTTGACCATAGCTTTTCTTCCAAGGAGAAAGCCTCTTTTAATTTCATGGCTGCAGTCACCATCTGCAGTGATCTTGATTCCAGCTTGTGCTTCATCCAACCCAGCATTTCTCATGATGTACTCTGCATAGAAGTTAAATAAGTGGGGTGACAATATACAGCCTTGACGTACTCCTTTCCCTATTTGGAACTAGTCTGTTGCTCCATGTCTGGTTCTAACTGTTGCTTCTTGACCTGCATACAGGTATACCTGCATACAGGTATATTAAATAAATAAATTTATTTATTTAATTTGTTGACCTGCATACAGGTATACCTGCATACAGGTATACCTGCATACAGGTATACCTGCATACAGGTATTTTAAATAAATAGATTTATTTATTTGTGGAAATTATTTAAGTTTTTAATTTATTTTTGGCTGTACTGGACTTCATGGTATGTATGCATTACATACAGTGAAGTCTAGTACAGCCAAAAATAAATAAATAATTTAAAACACAGATAATTACAATGTTATTAAAATCCTTGCTACTCAAAGTGTGGTCCATGGGCCAGCAGCATCAGCATCCCTGGGAATTTGTTGGCCCCCATCCTTGCTATTAAATTAATTCTGTGTTTTAATAGGAGTTAATCTGGAGAAGGAAACGGCAACCCACTCCAGTGTTCTTGCTTAGAAAATCCCATGGACGGAGGAGCCTGGTAGGCTACAGTCCACAGGGTTGCAAAGAGTCAGACACGACTGAGCGACTTCACTTTCACTTTCAATAGGAGTTAAATCCCCTAGAAAGTGATGCATGCACATTAGTGATCAAGAAACGCGGGGCTGAGGCAGTGGTTCTCAACTTTGGCTGAATATTGGAATTATCTGAAGAGTTTTTAAAAAAATACTGACATTTGAGTCCCACCCCCAGAGATTCTGATTTAACTAATCAGGTGCATGCCCTGGGCCCCTGTATTTAAAAATATTCCCTAGATGATTGAAAATCAGAGATATAAACTGGCCTTAGAAAAATATGGAAAACTAAGAAAGAAATTTCACAAAGAATGTATCTCAAAGCAAAAAAACAAAACTACAAACAAATCTCATTTATTATTAAAAATAAAATCCAATAATGATAAAAATAGAGTAAGACCAGGTGGAGTTGATCTAAGGAATACAAGCAATAATTTGCTGGTTTAATAACCAGCTCTGGGGAAGATTTTTTAAAAGGCCTGATTTGGAGCCTTTGTCAATTCTTGTGGTGTAAATACTCCGACCTGGACTAATTTTAAGCATCTTTCATTGTAAGCTAATTTTGCTTCTAGCAAAGAATGGTGCTAATTTTAAGCTACAACAGGATCCTAACTGGCTTGAAAATTTCTGAAAATGAAACAACTGGCTCTCACAATCTGCTCACTGCCTCACACCACTACAGATTGATTCAAAATTAGGACACCCCCCCATGAGCCCATTCCATCAGCACTTTGGAGAGGAGAGACGTGTGATGTCAGAGAGCATCCCATCACAGTTGTATTCAGGGGGGACTGCCTGGGGTATAGGCGCCACCTCCACGCAAGCACGTGCCTCATCCCTCCGTGCGGACTCTCATCCAGCAGGCTTCACTCAGGTGCTGACCCGCTGCTCCCTGAAGGCATGGGACTCTCTGACACCTGCTTGGCTGCCAGAACGAGCCTGTCCCAGACTTGCTGGGACCCCTTGGCCCCTGTGGTCCTGACAAGGCCCAGGTTTGATCAGGTCCTTCAGAGGTGGGTATGAGCATCGCCTCTGCTTCTCCACAGGCAGACCTGGCAGGGCTCAGTGTGCTGCTTCGTTATTCCACAGGCATCCTTTCAGATAAGGGGGCCCTTTCCCTAACCTGAAGGGAGCCGCCGAGAGAGGGCAGGGGCCCGCCTAACGTCCTTGGGACGGGGTGGGTTTCCTGCCCCCGGGTCGTCCTCTGAGGTTCATCTGCTCTGCCTTGCGCTTCCTTGCTTTCTTGGCTTAATCATGCCAGTTGCATTTCTCTTTCTGGAACTGCGCGCCTCTTACATGATTGCAGGAAACTCCCCTTGTATTGATAACCCAGAGTCCATTCTCACTGCCGCTGAACTCTCCAGAACAACACCGTCACTCTTGACCTAGGTGGCGCTTAGAGCGGGCCTCCACCTCGGCGTTCACGCCAGCTGTGGTGACGACTGCCGAGCGGTCCCTCTCCTGGCCTGGTAGGAGGGCTCCATGGCCGTGGGGCCGTCAGCAGCTTCCCGGGTTACCCCGTGGTGTCTGGGGCCCCTGAGAGCTCCTGGGAGCCCTGCGCTGTGTGCAGTCACGGCCGCCCCTGCTCCAGGGGAACACCGCCCTTCACACCGCTGTCTCCACCCTACAGGGTCAGTGGCAAGGGGTTGGCAGAGATTCTAACACGCGAGCTTGTCTGTTCTCCGTGGGACGGGTTTTATCTGCTATTCACCAAACCAAATGATAACTGAGCACCTTGGACGGGCCCTTTGGGCCGGGGGGAGAGCAATGAACCACGTGGATGTAAATCCCTGAGCTGCATGTCATCAGGGGGAGGGAAAATGAACAAAAGCAGACCAGAAGCAGACAAATAAGGTGATCATAAGGATATGGACAAAATAAAGAGTGCGGAGGCTCAGAGACGCGGGGAGGGCACTCCCGTAGCTCAGAGTCGGGGAAGGACCCTGCGGGATCCGAACCGGCCTAGTGTGCAGGAAGGGTCAGCCCCGGGAGGAAGGGGCGGGGAGCCACAGAGGCCGCGAGGAGGGCATGGGCTTGGCGTGTCTGTGCATGCCAGTCTTGCGGGCAGGCAGGGGCTGGGTGCTGAGTGCCGAGGGTGGCCTTTGGACTCTCACGGGAACAGGGCTGGGGCCGGTCAGAGGTGGGAGGTCAACAGGACCACATCCGGGGGGGACAGGGCCCCGTGGCCGAGGTGTGGAGAAGGGAAGGGGCTGGGGTGGTCACTGAGGCAGGACCCAGGCTGGGGGACAGGGTCACCGGCCCTCCCGACTGCGGTCATGCCTCGCCGAGCTCAGTCATCTGAGCTTGCCCGTCACAGACACCTCCGCGGCCAGAGCCTGCCACCGCGGCCCAGAAACACAGCAATTACCTGTCAGAACGAAAACACAGCAACGTGTGTTTATGCCAAAACAACAGCAATCACAGCGCAACGCCTCTCCGGGCTGTGCCCGCCGACCCCGCTTGCCCTGACCGCTGACCCCTGCAGCCTCACGCTCCACGCGGCCCCCCGGCTCCGGGCTTGCGGCTGCCTGACCGCGCCCCCCAGGCTCGGCCGCCTCCGCCCGCTCCCCCTACGTGGTTGCTGCCGAGATGCTGGCAGGCAGGGTCAGAGATGCAGGGGGCAGACGTTTTTGGAGACGTGTTTGTCACATGGTACACATCATTAATATTTGATTGCTTTGACATAACTTATTCATCTCCAATCCTTTATCATTCTGGAAGAAAGTAGTCTCTTGCCTCTTTATCCATTTGTTCAGTCTACAGATATTTGTTGAATCACAACTACACGCCCCCTGGGTAGGAGCTGGAGATACTAAGGAAAGGTACCCTACCCCCACCACCCCCGGGGCGTGGCCGCCTACAGATATCACGGCCACTTCACAGGGCGTCGAGGTCAACCAGAGTTTCAGACCACAGAGCTGAACTCTCTCTCCAGTAGAAGGAAAGAAATGCGAATTCACGTTTCTTATTTACTCTGCCAGATACTGAATCAGGTATGTGCATCTGCAGACCTCACCTTTGTTCCTCACAGCATTCTGGAAAATGGATCGATCGTTCCCGTGTGCCCTGATGAGTATATCCTGGCCAGGAGCGGTGACACCGTCTGGACCCTGTTACACAGCCAGTCAACAGCGGAGCCAGGGCGGCAGCCGGCTTTGCTCGGCTCAAAAACCCACGCTCTTTCCACTCCACTGAAGTTAAACCATAAGAATGCAGATCAAACTCAGATTAAAGGAAGGACTTGGGCACATGCTCAGGCCCACCTCAGTCAAGGAAAAGGGTGAGGACAAGAAGGAAGTCATGTGTCAGGGGTGATAACGTCTCAGGAGCCACCAAAAGAATCATGAAAACAAGAGTAACAAACACGAAGAAACATCATGGAAAAACCCAGCCAGCTGGTTCATGTCACAGAGTGAGTCACCCCCGAAAGACCTTGGAGGAAGATGAGAAAATGGATCGGTTTGGGGATAATTATCTGAACTTGCTGGGAGGCAGAGTCCTGCCAGATGCGGCTTGTTTAGCATCCAGCTGTCTGGAGGCGGAGAGGGCGGAGGGCTCTCCTGGGACTTCTAGTAAAACTCAGCCAAAGGGTGCCCTCATCTCTGGGTCTAGAGGAGGAGCCCTAGATCCCTGCTGTCAGCCTGGGCACCGGCACCCACAGCATTATCAGAAGCAGAAGAAGACACAGGAGTAAGAGGACAGATTTTTTAGAAGAAAATGTCCATTTTACTTAAAAATTTGAGCAAAACCAATGACATTACTTTGATAGCAAATGTTAATTTATTATGCAAGAGATAGCCAGTTTCACATGAAATTTGAAGATAACCCATTTTCAAGGAAGTTTCCTGATTTAGGTGGATCACTTGAAGTTTCATTCCTAGACATCTAACGATCCATGATTGTTTGCTGGGAAATACTGAGACAGTCCACATGGTTATCTCAAATTTGTGACAAATCAGCTACTCACATCCCACCCTCAGATCAGTTTTAACCAACAATAACTGAACTCTCATCCTGGGCTGGAGGTTCTGCTGGGTCCTGTTCAAGATTAAGAAGGTATTGTTCACGTAGTAATCCCGAACACATGCCCACAGTAACCGTAACATTATCTGTTACTTAGGCTATGGTCGAGGCCTCATACCATACCATACCATACCATACCATACCATAGAGGCCTATGGTATGTGCACTCAAAGGAGTGATTAATTTTACCTGGGAGGGGGAGCCATGGGTGAAGACTTTGAAAAGAAGTTTCCTCTGAAGGACAAGGATTCTGCCATGGGGCTCTCCCTCACTCTAAACAGAGAAAGCAGGGAATTTACTCCAGTTGGAGTGAAGGAACACAGGAGACACTGGCCAGAGGTTATTAAGGTAAATCTTTGGGTTCAGATGATGCAAACCTTGAACGTCACCTTGGGCATCCTAGACTTTTTTGTGGAGACAATGGAAGGTCGGCATTGAAAGGTTTCAGATGGGTAAGAAATACAACCAAACCTGTATTTTAGGAAGTTCATGAAGGTTGGAGGGTGACTTGGAGGGAAGAGGTCTTGTAATTCAGATTCTGGGCCAACCATTGAGGTCTTTCCTAAAGGCATCCGTCCCAGCCTCTTGGGCAGCTCAGTCCATTCCCATCATATGCAGATCTGAGACATTTATGGAGTCCATTGCATTATGTAATCACCCTTATAGGATGGATGTATATATTGCTCTGTCACAGTTGTTGGTAGTATTTTCATAGATGCATTTTAATACAATTGGTTTCCTCTGTAATCTTATATGTTTTCTTTTATGCCCTTGAAAATATTGATTTGGGGACTTCCTTGGTGGCCCAGTGGTTAAGACTCCACGTTTCCACTGCAGGGGAAGCAGGTTTGATCCCTGGTTGGGGAACTAGAATCCCACATGTCTCACAGCATGGCCAAATATATATACATATACACGTGGCCAAATACATATATATATATATATATATATATATATATTGTTTTGGGAAAGACTCTATGGACTTGACAGACTGCCAAAGGGTTCATGATCAAACATTTGAAGGTACTACGTAGACCATCTTTCCTTTCTCCACATGCAGTAATTCCTCAGTCACGTGAGCATTTATCAAACGCCTCTCCTGGGCTCAGGTCTGTGTCAGAGGCTGTGCTCTGAGGATCTGAAACCAGGCTGCCTGGGCTGGATTCCTGCTGCTGCTTTTTTGAACCATGTGATTGTGGCCAAATTAACTTTCACCTCCCAATTTTCTCCTTTGTAAATGAGGACAATAGTAATCCTATACTTCAGGGGGCTGTTATAAGAATGAAATCAGCTAATGAATGTAAAGCTTTGGGCAGTGTCCAGCCCCCTGAGCCCAGACCACAGTGTGTTTGTTGTAGAATCAGGGAGACATTGTTACAGGGAGGAGCCCATTTTGACTCCATGCAGGATCTGTTTCTTTGACTTTAACCTTTGCTTTTCATTGTCTTTGTTATTATAATCATACATAATGGCCTGCCTTAGGGAACTCTGCTGCTCTGCCTGAATGTTAAGCCAAAGTTGCCTTTTTTCAGGGAGACACCCTGACTCCCTCCACCTGTGGAAGACCACAGTTCAGTTCAGTTTAGTCGCTCAGCCGTGTCCGACTCTTTGCGACCCCATGGACTGCAGCACGCCAGGCCTCCCTGTCCATCACCAACTCCCGGAGTCCACCCAAACTCATGTCCATTGAGTGAGTGTTGCCATCCAACCATCTCATCCTCTGTTGTCCCCTTTTCCTCCTGCCTTCAATCTTTCCCAGCATCAAGGTCTTTACAATGAGTTAGTTCTTCGCATCAGGTGGTCAAAGTATTGGAATTTCAGCTTCAGTATCAGTCCTTCCAATGAATATTCAGGACTGATTTCCTTTAGGATGGACTGGTTGGATCTCCTTGCAGTCCAAGGGACTCTCAAGAGTCTTCTCCAACACCACAGTTCAAAAGCATCAATTCTTCGGTGCTCAGCTTTCTTTATAGTCCATCTCTCACATCCATACATGACCACTGGAAAAACCATAGCCTTGACTAGACAGACCTTTGTTGGCAAAGTGATGTCTCTGCTTTTTAACATGCTGGATGACTACAGGAATGAAGAAATTAACATATCCCATCCTGAGGCTGGCCATTCCAGGAGATATTTGCAAGACTGATGGCCTTTTACTTTATCTCCTCACCTCTTCCCCCTCTCTGTTTTATAAAAGACCCTGGCATCCAGACCCTGACAAGATGGTTATTTTGAGACGTTAGTCTGCCATCTTCTCAGTCCGCCAGCTTTCCACATAAAGTCATGTTCCTTCCCTCAACACCTTGTCTCTCGGATTTCTTGGCCTGTTGTGTGGTGAGCAGAGTGAATTTGGACGTGGGAACATGGTAACCTCAGGTGACACCACGCCAGAATAGAGCTGCTGTTTGCTACGACTCTCATTGCTTCGGTTTCCTGTCTTCAGGTCTTCCTAAGAAGGACCCGAAAAACTCAGCTGAAAAAGAAGTAGTCACAGAATCCCTTCAAAGTCTATACTTATCTAAAAATTTGGTAGCTGTCTTAGTTAATGTCCCCAAAAAGCAGAACCTGAGGTAAAGGATTTGTGGCAGGTTGCATTTGGGAAGTGACTCCAGGCCGCACAGTAGGGGAAGGAGGAAGTGGTGGAGAGGAGGGAGCACAGCTACAAAGGTTAACCAGCAGGCTGCCTCCGAGGGCAGCGGAGGGGCCCCCTCTGAGAGGTCCTGCAGAACACGCCCGGCTGTCCTGCCAGGGTGAGGGGTGGTGGGCTCATCCACCAGCAGCTCTCTCCCTCACCTCTGAGGGCTGGCCTGGGGGTCTCACGTGTGAGTCCAGACAGCTGCAGTGGCAGAAGCTGCCCACAGACGGGCCACACGGGTGCCTGGGGAACAGCCTGTGAGTGGGGGAGAGCGCTGTCTTTGAAAGCCACCCGCCCCCGCACGGTGTCGCTTCAGTGGGGATGGCAGGGGAGACACACCATCATGGGTAAAAGAGACAGTAAACAGATGAGTCTGTCCTTTATTTGATTTTAAAATGTTACTGAAAGAGGTTTAACTCCACCCTGCATCTTTCAGCGGCTTCCGGCCCTCCCCTTCTTGCTGCAGCCTGTGATTTTCACCCCAATATTGCTTCAGCAACTTATGTGTGATTTGGTCTTTATGAGTGTGTTTATCAAAAATCCCAGCCACCCACACACTTCAGAGCCATTATTATGGTTAAACTTGTCAGTGATTTGAAGCCGGGGGGCCGGCGGCGGGGGGCGGGCAGGGGAGGGGTGGTTGTGTCAGAATATATTCATTATTTTGGTACCTGCTTATTAGCAAAGAAAACTGAGTTCCCGGAGTGTTTCTTCTTCTGTGTTGTTGTCTGTTAATCAAACAAACACCATGACTTGCAGTGTGAAATCTTAGGACTGTGGGATGTTAGTTTCATATGGCTAGATTTCAATGTAAGTGGAGTCGTAAGAACGTGTACTTTTTGAACAAATGAGTGACTGTCACACTGTTAAATTCCATAAAAAGCAGTTACCTCTGCTCAGTTTCCAGGTGAGAGAGCATGGATACTGGGGAGCAGATTTATCATCATTATTTTAAAAAGCAATCAGTAAAGGAGAAGAACTGTAGGATATCACAATTTTATCTACACTATGAGTACAATAGTGGAGGAATGATGTCACTTTATGGGGAAGAACAGGAAGGTAAAATGGAAAAATGAATATTGTTTTCCAATGCAGTCCATTTTCTTTTTAAAACAGGAGGAAAGACAGACCGTCAGTGACTTATCATCACATTCCAGTGTGACATGAAATTCTCGATGTGCTTTTATTTCCCTCAGCAACTTTTCTAAGCGTATACAAATTCATTGAGGAATGTCCATAAATTTCCTTCCACCCCTTTCTCTCTCCTCTAGGCTAAAACGTTGGAGCTGGCCACTAGGGCCCTGCAAACATGGATAAATCTGGAAACCAATACACTAAGAGAAAGGAACCAGACACAAAAGACCGCACATTGTTTGATCCCATTTACATGAAATTTCTGCAAAGAGGAGATACTATGGCTATGGAAAGCAAATCCGTGGTTTCTAGAGGCTGCTGGGAACAGGGACTGAGCATAAAAGAGCGTGAGGAAAATCTTCAGGGTGCTGGCATTGTCCTAAAACTGGATTGTGGTGGTGGTTGCATAGTTTTGAAAATGTATGATAAGTCAATTACAAAATCATGCTTTTTGAGGGAGAAAGAAAAGGAAAAAGAGTGGGGGGGGGGGTGGGGAGGAGAAAAGCCCTGGGAATTGTAGAAAAAAACTTCTAGTTAGTGTGGGGTAGACGAGCTCCCTGTTGAACGAGTTATAGCACCTTCACTCACAAGTGACATCCAGGAGCCCCTGAAAATAAACCTTTGCCCCCAACACACCCTCTAGGGGAAAATAGCACCTGTTTTTGCAAAGGAACTTCAAGACGAGCCTCTTTCCCTCCCCTCCAACAGACTGGCCCTCGGCTGCTTCAGGACAAGCCGGTCAGCATAGCACCGTCCCCTAAACAGAGGGGGAGCCAAGCACCTAGGCTTCTGCATTTTCTAGCAGACACATTGAAAATGGAAGCAGAAACAGATTGCATTAACTTTAACAATATGTTTCCTTTAACCCAGTATGTCCAAAGTATGATCGTTTCAGTGTATCATCAATATAAAAATTATTGCGATATTTTACTTTCTTTCTTTCATATGAAGACTTCAAAGTCTGTTACTAGTGGAATGGCATGTTTCAAGTTTGACCAGCTTCATTTTCAAGTGTTGGAAAGCCACAGGTGGTTACGGCCTTGGACAGCACAGGCCTAGAGGCATCTTGTTGATACTGGAGAGACTTCAAATTGTTCTAAGAGAGAATGGTTTTCATGCAGACGTCCACTGCCAACTAAACAAACAAACAAAGGTATATATTGGATTGTGTAAAATCACACTCATCTCTGTGTGATCCTCACTTTTTTTAAAATTTAATTTTTCAGGGCTTCCCTGGTGGCTCAGTGATAAAGATCCCACCTGCCAATGCAGGAGACACCAGTTCGATCCCTGGTCTGGGAAGATCCCACAGGCTGCGGAGCAACTAAGCCCTTTTTGCCACACTCCTGAGCCCACGAGGCGCAGCTACCGAAGCCGGCGTGCTCCAGAGCCTGTCCTCCTCCGCGAGAGACGCCACCGCGGGGAGAAGCCCGCACACAGCTGGAGAGGCGCCCCTGGTCGCCACGGCTAGAGAATAGCCTGAGCAGCGAGGAAGACCCGGCGCGGCCAAAAGTAAATAATAAAATTGTGTTAAAAAGTAAAGGCTCAAAAAATTAATTTTTCACACAGTCCTGAAGAATTTTTTAACATACTCAGTGAGTTTCCTAGTCAAGTCTTGGCAGTTAAATTCCTATGGTCAGCACACATAGCTGCATTTAAAATTAACATTAAGTGGAGGCATTTTGAGACTAGGAATTATGAAGCAAGGATTTTAGTTAAGATTAAAAGGTTAATCCTTCACCAGGAAACTGCATTCTGTCCTCACAAGAGAACAACCGTGATGATCTACAGTAATAAATCTGATTATTGTCATTACGGAACTCAAATTATTTGTCTAGAAATGACAGTATCACAGACAAAGACCAATAGGTTGAGAAGGTCTCAGGTGGAGTTTTTTTTAATTTGGTTCGATTGGGTGTGGGATAGAGGTTGTACAGTATTGGAAAATATAACCATTTAAAGCACTGTCAAAATTCTTAGAAAATTCTTACTGTCAAAATTCCTAGATTCATGGATGGGTTCTGATCTGCTGTCTCGTTGCAGGAGAATCTGAGTAATTCTACAACATTCACTGTCCGTACTTTGACAGTGGTACTTGTAGCTGACTACCCAGCTTTCTTGTAAAAATAAAAATTACTCTGATGCTGGAGCACCTGAAAAAAATATTTATTTTCCCAGCAAGACTAGAACTACGTCTTCTCTGTCGACTCCAAGAGCCTAAGAAGAATACAGCGACCTCATAGAGTCAGCCGGAAGGAAGGCAGGTGATTTTGTTTTCTGGGCTGTTGTTGATAGTTCTCGGAAATCCCCCTTTGCTAATAGTCACCTTTTGTTCTGCTCTTCCTTTCTGGGGGTGGAAACTGTGCCCTTGGGCTGCAGGTGTCTCTCCCCGGCTGGACTGTTTTTTATCCCTGTCCCCTTCTCCTCACTTCCTGCCGTACAAAACAGCCCCGAAGCCAGGGTCAGCTTGTCGCTGGAACCACGAGGGGCTGACCGGCTTGCTGTTTCAGGGCCGGGCCCTCAGCAGATGGGGGGTTGACATTCACAGTCAGCTCGACGCGGGCCCAGCTGAGCACACGCTGCCTGCCGCGGCCTCTGGGATTCTCCGCTTGCCAGCCAGCAGTCTCCCTCTGTGCTCTGGTTCAGCCGAGGAGCAACTTTGTTTCTGACTGTTGAAGGAAAACAAACTCCCATGGTGTTCACTGAGGCATGTTTTAGTTCAGGTTCTCCCTGAAACAAAGCCTCAGACCCAGACCTGGATCTTGGGTGCAAGTAGCTTTTTGGGGCGGAGACCTGGGGCCAGGAGTGAGGGGACGGGAGAGGAGGAGGCGGAAAGGCCTGCAGAGGCTGTGTGCATCACTGGCTCTCCTTGTGAGCCGTGGGGCCCGCTCTTGCTGGGGACCCTCCAAGGGATGCTGTAGAATGTCTCCCAGAATTGTCCCCTGAAGAAGCAGAGACCAGGGCCTTTGGTCCCCGACTTTCCTTTCCCCCGGGGTTGAGGACTGCCCTGGGAATGGTAACAGCCCCCTGTACATGGGGCTGCCGGCGTAAGGGTGAAGTGAAAAACACCAGAGCCGCAAAACACCCCGAGGAGGGGGCTTGAGGTTCCCTGGCCGTGTGCAGAGAGCGTGCCCCCTCCTCCTGAAAGCCCAGAGAGGTGGAGGGGAGGTGAGCGGGAGCAGAGAAGTCCTGGCTTCTGTTCACGATCCTCACCCCCTCAGAAAACAAAGCCTGACCGTTAGATGGAAATGTCCGTAGGACCTGGTATAACTTCCGCAGCTGTTTCTTTGTGTCAAGAGTCTGGAAAGGGCGAAGGTGGCTGACTCACATACGGTCAGGTCAGGGCCAAGGCAAGCGCCTTTCCCCCGGAGGGCCCGGCCTTCCAACTCCTGTCTGTTCTCAGGACAAACGCATTTCACAGCCACGGTCAGGCCCCAGCGAGGGTCCTCCCTAGCCCAGTTGTCACCCTTCGTCTGTCTTTAAGAGGCTGGCCCAGAGTCCCACGTGGCTTGGGGACAGAACCTTCCCTCCTGAGCAAGCTGTGGCTTTGGGAACATTGAAAGCCAAGCTGCAAACTGGCCCGAACTGGGGTTTCCCTTATTTCGACCTCCCGGCAATCCCCACGGTGACGTCGTCAGAGATAGAGAAAGCGAGGGAGAAGTTCCTCTTCATCGGGGCGACGGACGCAAGGCCAGGGGCTGCCTGGAACTTAGGGTCTGGGAAGAGGAGAGCTTGGGGCGCTTGGCAAGGAGCCCTTGGGGGACACTTGCGGGAGACACTTAAGTCAACAGGTGACTTTCCAGAGCGAGATGCTGGCTTAAAACTCACTACTAATCACAGGACTTCCCTGGGGGCTCAGATGGTGAAGCGTCTGCCTACAATGCAGGAGCCCTGGGTTCAATCTCTGGGTCAGGAAGATCCCCTAGAGGAGGAAATGGCAACCAACTCCAGTGTTCTGGCCTAGAGAATTCCATGGACAGAGGAGCCTGGCAGGCTATAGTCCATGGGGTTGCAAAGAGTCAGACATGACTGAGCGACTTCACTTCACTTCACTTCACTTCACTAATCACAGGCTTCCCAAAGCACAAGGTCATTCTTACACAGACAGACAAACTGGAGCGTAGGATAGGATAACGCAGGAGATCTGGGGTCCTTACTAGTCATGGCATAGCTTGGCCCTTTCAGTGAGGGTTGGGTGTCCTCACAGATACTAATCCTTCAAGATAGCTCCTATTTATTGTGTTCAGAATGCATACAGACTGTTTCTCTGGTGGCTCAGATGGTGAAGTATCTGCCTGCAATGTAGGAGACCGGGATTTGATCCCTGGGTTGGGAAGATCCCCTGGAGAAGGGAACTGCAACCCAATCCAGTATTCTGGCCTGGGAAACCCAAGGACAGAGGAACCTGGTGGGCTACAGTCCATGGGGTTGCAAAGAGTCGGACACAACTGAGTGACCAACACGTTTATTTATATTAGCTTATGTAATACATGACAGCAAAGTAGATCTGTTATCAGTTGACAGATGAGGTCACCATGACTTTCAAAAGCTGACTGCCCATTCAGGGTCACACGGCCTTCTAAGGAGCAGACCTGGGACCCTAAATCAGGTCATGGGCGAAGTTGGAAACGCGGTACGTATACGACTGTATATGCACATTTTCTATGACACAGGAAGACAGGCAGCCTAAAGCGTTGGCCTGCACCTCTATAAAATAGGATTGCAAATGGTTCAGAGCTCAGACTTCGGGGCCACATCATCTCTTGGAAGACCTGGGGGATAGAATTAGATACAAAATGATCTCCTCTACAGTCTGTGATTAAGTAGTTTTAAAAATAACAATAGGTTCTGTGTGCATGAGTGTCTGAGTGTTTTGTCCTGGATGTTCCTCATAAGAAACTAAATGTTTCCCAGAAAAAAAAAAAAAAGAATCAGAACAAAAAGGATCCTTTGTCTCCTTCTGCAAGATACATTTGTGTCCCAGTTCCAGAAATCTGCTTATCCTTTGGATGGCACGTTTATATTTGGCAGCAGATTTCAGAAGTTTGCATGAAGGAGCTTTCTTGGAAAAGTGAAGACGGAAGAGCTGTGTGTCCACCCAGCAGAAATGAAACTGCTGGCCTTCTGGGTTTGCAGCCTTCTGACGGCAGGAAGAAACCCTTTTGAAAATCTACGCTCATCTCTCCGTGCCTGCAAGCTTTCCTTTTTCTTGCATCTCTACGTGTGGGTTTCTGATATCTCCTGTCCAACTTCCCAACAAACCATTAGGAAAAGAATGCCTCATCAGGGTCACAGACAAGTAATAAGCCGGCCCACAGTAGGCGCTTTGTGGGGTCAAAGCTCCGCAGGAGTGAAAAGGGCTGGCCGTGAGCCTACAGCCAACATGTGTGGTTTTGAGTCAGTCAGCAAAACTCGTCAAAAGTGGCTTCTATGTATTTGCTGTCTCCACGGCCCACATCCACGTTTCCAGTTTCCATCAATCCCGTCCAGCCAGTGCCCAGGACCTACTTGCTGAAACTGCTCTGGTCAAGGTTTCAGACAGACCTCCTGTCACCAGATTTGGTGGTCACCTGTCTGTCTACCTGTCTCTCCACCAACCAGGGGCTTTCAAGCCAGTGGACCACCCCTTCCCATCACCTCCCTGTCTCTCCTGCCTTCCCAGATAACTGTCTCAATCTCTCCATTGATTTCCCTGCCTCAAGGCTTCTGGTCTTGCCCAGCCTAGGGGTCTCTCCTTATTACCTCCCAGAGATATTTCTCCCCGGCTTCTGGCTTTTAACAGTATCTGCTCCTGCTGCTGCTAAGTCGCTCAGTTGTGTCTGACTCTTAGCGACCCCACGGACTGCAGCCAACCGGGCTCCTCTGTCCATGGGATTTTCCAGGCAAGAGTACTGGAGTGGGGTGCCATTGCCTTCTCCATTAACAGTATCTATTTACCACTTATTCTCAAACTTAGACTCCGAGCTGCAGGCTCAAGTGTTTAACTGTTTTCAAGACGTTGCCTCTTAGATGCCTCACAAACATCTCAAACGTAGTATGTGCAAAACAGAACTCTTGACAGCTCTTTTTCACCCAACCTATTCCTCCTGGGGCCTTTTCTTTTTGTCATTAATGGGACCACTGGCCCAGTTGTTTAAACCAAAACTTGGAAGTCATGTTTGATTCCTCTTTCCCCTCATCTCTGAAGCCAATGGTCCAGCAAGTCCTGTGAGCCTCCTCTTCCCCACATGTGTGCCAAATTCATCTCCTCTTGGCTTTTCGCTCTGTCCTCGCTCATCTGGATGATCCCATAACCTGCTCCTGTTTCTCCACGTTCACATGTAGCCTCCTGCAATCCATTCCCAGAGCAGGTCTTTTAGAGATGAAGGTCAGGTCATCTGAATCGCTGATTTAAAATCCCCCAGTGGCTTCCCACGACTTAGAAGAAAATCCAAATCCCTCGTCATGATGTATAAGGCACCCCCCGACTTACCCCGGGGGTCAGTCAGCAAACTTTCCTGTGAAGGAGGGTGAGGGGGTAGTACCTGTCTGGGGCTTTGTGAACCACATGGTCTGTGTTGGACCACGATTGCAGCCGTAGGAATATAAGTGTGGCTTGTTCCAAGAAAACCTCATCTATAAAACAGGCTATGGGTTGGATCTGGCTTGTGGGTCACAGTTTGCTGACCCCCGTCTAGCCTCTCTCTGCCTTTCCAACCCTGCTGCACGCTCTGTGTCTTGCTGTGACCAGACAGCCTGGCTGGGGTAGGAAGCCTCCCGAGACGTCTGCCACGGTTCCTTTGGTTCCTTCGGTCTCTGGATACCGATGTCACACCCCTCGGATATGCTGACCCCACGCTGACTTGGGCCAGTGGAATGCGGTGGGAGGGATGTTCCAGGACTTCTCGAGCTGAAGATTTAAGACATTTGGCAACTTCTGCCTCCTCTCTTGGAGTCCAGCCACCAAGCTATGAAAAAACAAAAGCCACATGGAGAGGCCACGTGCAGGAGAACATTACTCTGGGCTGTCATCCCAGGGGGCCCCCAAGGGGTGAGCCCCTTGGGAGATCCCAGCGTCCAGAAGACTACAGTCAGCTGGGATCACTTGGAGCTGCCTGGTAGGACTGGACGTTTCACAGACAGTGAGAAGGAAATGGTTATCGTCTTAAGCCGTTAAATTCTGATGCTTTGTCTTAGCCAGAGATCATGGATACACTGGTCTTCTTTCTGTCCTTCATACCCATGCTCATCCCTCCAACCAGCTCCAGCTGCGCTGTTTGCCTGGAACGCACCTCCCCTGGACCTTCACGGGGCTGGGCCTTCGCATCACTCAGCTCAGCCTCACTGTTTGTTCTGCAAAGCTGCCCTTCCTCTGCTCAGGCGGTGTGGCAAGTCCCACTCTTATCATCCCACCCTGTCTGGACTCCAGGATCAGCTCGCAGTGAAGGCCAGGCCAGCAGCTCATTCCTCTTCTCCCCGTCCCCACCCCTCAGCCTCAGTGATGGATGCAGTGATGGCCCAGGTCAGTCTAATGAGAGTCGGCGCAGGAATTGTGGCTGAGAGTCGTCAGGCTGGTTCAGCCCAAGCCTGGAGCTGCTGGGGCCCAACTGTCCATTCCAGGGGCAGGCGGGTTTGGAAACAAGGCTGACAAGGTCACAGACGAGAGGTGGACGCGGTGAGAGAGACGCCC